CACCCTGTGGGGTAGGTGGGGCTGAGAGAGCTCCGACAGAAACTGCTCTTTTTCAAGAACACCTCTGACAGAACTATGGCTTGCCCAAGGTCATCCAGCAGGTGCAAGTGGAGGAGTGGGGAATCAAACCCGGTTCTCCCAGATTAGAGTCTGCGCACTTAACCACTACACCAAACTGGCTCCAGAGCAAACTGATTGATGCAGGAGCCAAGTCAACCGCTCACAATTTTAATGCCAGGCACTCACGATGTAGAATCTTTGCTCGCAAGACTCCATGGCTTTGAGGGAGCATTGCTGCCTTCCCTCCCCATGACAGTCTGGGGAGAGCAAAATAGTTGTGTCCAGTGTGCTCATGGAACTCACAAGTTACCAGGCGCTCTACACATCACATGAACACATGAAGCTGCCTTATACTGAATCAGACCTTCGGTCCATCAAAGTCAGCATTGTCCACTCAGACTGACAGCGGCTCTCCAGGGTCTCAGGTCAAGGTCTTTCTTATCACCTATGACCTGGTCCTTTTAACTGGAGATGCCGGGGATTGAACCTGGGACCTTCTGCATGCCGAGCAGACGCTCTGCCACTGAGCCAGGGTCTCAGGTCAAGGTCTTTCTTATCACCTATGGCCTGGTCCTTTTAACTGGAGATGCCGGGGATTGAACCTGGGACCTTCTGCATGCCGAGCAGACGCTCTGCCACTGAGCCAGGGTCTCAGGTCAAGGTCTTTCTTATCACCTATGGCCTGGTCCTTTTAACTGGAGATGCCGGGGATTGAACCTGGGACCTTCTGCATGCCGAGCAGATGCTCTGCCACTGAGCCAGGGTCTCAGGTCAAGGTCTTTCTTATCACCTATGGCCTGGTCCTTTTAACTGGAGATGCCGGGGATTGAACCTGGGACCTTCTGCATGCCGAGAACATGCTCTGCCACTGAGCCAGAGTCTCAGGTCAAGGTCTTTCTTATCACCTATGGCCTGGTTCTTTTAACTGGAGATGCTCTGCCACTGAGCCAGGGTCTCAGGTTAAGGTCTTTCTTATCACCTATGGCCTGGTCCTTTTAACTGGAGATGCCGGGGATTGAACCTGGGACCTTTTGCATGCCGAGCAGATGCTCTGCCAGTGAGCCATGGCCCCTCCCCATCACGAGTCCAGTGCCGATAAAACCTGGTGCCAAAAGACAAAGTTGAGCGATTTTCTGGCCTTGTGTTTCAAAGTCCAATCAGATTCTCCCGCTAGCAGAGAAGACTTCCTCACCCGCTTCATAAGAACGGCTCAAGGCCCTGCTTGGGGGGGGGGGCAAAGGTGTACTGCTGGCCTCCTGCGAGCCCTTAAGGACAGCCTGGATGGATGTAGGAGGCCTCCCTCCTGCCAGCTCCGGTAGCATTGCCCTGAGATTTGTCATGCTTAACATGTTAATCAGGGGAAAGTAATTGGTGAGAACATTAATGAATACAAATTGCTCCCCAATGCTCCCAGTCCAGGGCCTGGGAGGCATCATTTTGCCTCTCCGCTATAATGAATCTGATTATCTCGCAAGGAGGGGCTCCTGTCAAGTTACTCAAGGGTGGCTGGAGAAAATGAAGACAGATTATCTCCTTTAGAGGTACGCGGGACCATCAGCATGCCTAATGGCCCCTGAAATACAGAGCACGCCTTAATCAGGCATTTAGGAATTGTTGGCAGGTGCTGAGGACAACTTACATGAAATGCCCAGTTAACAAGGACAGTTTACAATGACCAACTTATCACACACACACACACACACACACACACCCTTGGCCGCCTCCTGGAGACTCTGAGAGACACCTGCTGTGCTTGGGAGGTGGTGTGCATTCAGAGATTAATGGATAAAAAAACCCCTCAAACTGAAAACACCCCATCTGCAGGTATCATAGGCTTGCCAAGAACCCCCCGCCCCAGAGGCCCGTTCCCCGCCAGCGGCGGATCGGGCCCCGGCGGGAACCCCACCCCGACGTGCACGTCACCCGGAAGTGACGTGACGCCGCCGGACACGCTGGGGGCGGGGCCATGGTCTTCTGAGGGGAAACTCTATGGGTTTACCTCGGATGGTCTTGGCCCCGCCCCCAGCATGCCCGGCGTCATCACGGCACTTCTGGGCGACATGCATGTGGTGCGCGCGCGCGCACTCCAGCTGCCAGCCGGGAGTCTCCCGCTGCGGCTCAAAAACCACTTGGCAACCCTAAGGTATCAGCATGTATGTATCTATTTCTCAAGTGTGGCCCTCCATCTGCAGATATCTAAATCTGTGGATCAGGGCCACACTCAATGTTCCCTCTAAGCTGTGGAGCCTTGTGAGCAAAAATTCTACTTCGTGAGCTACCGGCATTAAAGTTGTGAGCGAGCAATTTGGTTGCTACGTAAATCAGGTTGCTCTGGAGCCATCCTTCCTGAACTAAGACAAAAATGTGTGAGCCAGAGGCTAAAAAACTTTGAGCTAGCTCACACTAACTCAGCTTAGAGGGAACACTGGCCACACTGTCTCTAAACAGATGTTTCTGCGAACTTGGGGGACCCCCCCTCCAGTTTGCAGAAAAAGGCTGACATCGTTAAAATATACACGGGGGGGGGGGTTGAAACCCCTCCCCTCACCAAAAAGCAGTGCTGTCTGTGCACACCAGGGTTGCCAGATCCGGGTTGGAAAATACCTGGAGATTTGGGAGGGTGGAGCCTGGGGCGGGTGGGGTTTGGGGAGGGGAGGGGCCTCAGCAGGGTGTAGTCCCCTAGAGCCCGCCTTCCAAAGCAGCCATTTTCTCCAGGGGAGCTGATCTTGGTCGTCTGGAGATCAACTGTGATAGTGGAAGATCTAGTTGTAATTTGGGGTGCTCTCCAGGTGCTGCCTAAAGGTTGGCAACCCTAGCACATGCATAAATTGCACCAGGGGTCAACTAGTAGAAAAAGAGATGCAGGAGCTCATTAGCATAACTCATTAGCATAACTTATTTGCATATGCCACACACACCCTGACATCACCGGAAGTGTGTCAGAAGGCAACACCCACCGCTCAGGCTCGACTGGACTGTTTTCAATTGCTAGCTATTGGGGGGGGGAGGAATGGGCAGATCTGTCCTCGCAGAGGAGGGAGAGCTTGTACCTGAATAAAACTTGGTCTTAAGGGTGCCACTGGACTGTTTTGGATTGCTAGCTATTGGGGGGGACAGGGGACGTGCAGATCTGTCCTCGCAGAGGAGGGAGAGCTTGTACCTGAATAAAACTTGGTCTTAAAGGTGCCACTGGACTGTTTTGGATTGCTAGCTATGGGGGGGGACAGGGGACGTGCAGATCTGTCCTCGCAGAGGAGGGAGAGCTTGTACCTGAATAAAACTTGGTCTTAAAGGTGCCACTGGACTGTTTTGGATTGCTAGCTATGGGGGGGGACAGGGGACGTGCAGATCTGTCCTCGCAGAGGAGGGAGAGGCCCCCTGGGCTCCTTACTGCCGGAGCTCTGCTCCTGTGCACTCCCGCAGGAAATGACCCCTGGATCACACACATCCTTTCCAGCCCAGCTGCATGGCTGGCAGCATCTAGGAGCCTATTTGGGCCCAGTGCAGCTCCCAGGCACTGATGTCCCAACAGCAGCTCCTACCACCTACAAGGTAAGGGAGGGGGGGAGAGAGATGGGGGGGTGCTGACAAGAAGGAGGACGGGCTAAATAGAGAGGGAGCAGTTTGACTGAGGAGGGGAGGGGAAATTGATGGAGAAGGGGTGAGGGGCAAAAAGGAGAGGGTAGGTTGACATAAAAAAAGCTCAACATAAAAAAACTAAGATCATGGCATCCGGCCCCATCACTCCTTGGCAAATAGAAGGGGAAGTCGTGGAAGTAGTGACAGACTTCATGTTCCTGTGATCCCAGATCACCGCAGATGGTGACAGCAGCCATGAAATTAAAAGACGCCTGCTCCTTGGGAGGAAAGCGATGGCGAACCTAAACAGCATGATAAAAAGTAGAGACATCACCCTGCCAACAAAAGTCCGCATGGTCAAAGCAATGGTATTCCCAGTAGTCATGTATGGCTGCGAGAGCTGGACTATAAGGAAGGCCGAGCGCCGAAGAATAGATTCTTTTGAACTATGGTGCTGGAGAAGACTCTTGAGAGTCCCTTGGACTGCAAGAAGAACAAATCAGTCAATCCTCAAAGAAATCAACCCTGACTGTTCCCTGGAAGGCCAGATAATGAAACTGAAGCTCAAATACTTTGGGCACCCAATGAGAAGGGAGCACTCACTGGAGAAGAAGACCCTGATGCTGGGAAAGATTGAAGGTCAAAGAAGACGGGGACGGCAAAGGATGAGATGGTTAGACAGTGTCATCGATGCAACGAACATGAAATTGAGCAAACTTTCCGAGGACGGCGGAAGACAGTATTTGGCCAAAGTATTGGACCTTCAGTTTCATTATCTGGCCTTCCAGGGAACAGTCAGGGTTGATCATCGATCTTACCTTCCAGGTTCCTACGCAGTATTGTTCTTTGTAGCATCGGACTTTCCTTTCACCATCAGACACATCCACAACTGAGCGTCTGTTGTGTATGCAGACCGCCACCGGGGGCCAGCGGTCAGCCAGAGCTGCCAGAGCTTGACTCTGGAACAACAATAGGGACTAGGCTCCTAGTCCCTCCACTGGGGAGCCAATGGGATCCGTGGCGGGAGATTCAAACTCACCAATGGTGACCAGGGGTGTGTCCCCAGGGGTGTATATAGTTGGCCCCCGGGCCGTTATTCCCCCGTCTTGTTGTGTACCTAATAAAGCGTGCCATGCACTACGTCGTCTTCTGTCGTTTCTCCATGCGGCAACCCACTACACAATAGTGTCCTTTCGGCTTTGGCCCAGCCGCTTCACTCTTTCTGGGGTTACTTGTACTTGCCCTCTGCTCTTCCCCAGTAGCATATTGGACACCTTCCGACCTGAGGGGCTCATCTTCCCGCGTCATATCTTTTAGCCTTTTGATACTGTCCGCGGGGTTTCCTTGGCAAAAATACTGGAATGGGTTGCCATTTCCTTCTCCAGGGGATCACGCTTGTATCCAGTATGCCATCTTAAAGTACATGTACATCTCTTGCCAAGCAAGAGAGAGAGAGATACAGATGTGGGCTCAATCAAGAAAGCCCGGGCGACACCAGTGAGAGGCTGTGGCACGACAGCCAAGCATCTGCTCGGCATACACTCCCCAGTTGGTTCACTCCCCAGCATCTCTATTTAAAAGCCAAAAGCCTGATTTCAGCTGCTAAGCTGGGTTAGCCCTGGTTAGTATTTGGATGGGAGACCAACCGAGGGAGCCCAAGGTCGCAATGCCAGAGGCAGGCAAGGGCAAATCATCCATTCACCTCTTGCCTTGAAGACCCTAGGACAGTGGTGGCGAACCTATGGCACGGGTGCCAGAGGTGGCACTCAGAGCCCTCTCTGTGGGCACGCGTGCCATCGCCCCAGCCAGGCCCAGACCATCATTAAAGCGTCGAATTCTCTGCCAAATAATTTTAAGTAAATTAAAGCATTTGGGATTGCTTTCCTTACTTTGTTTGGATCATCTTACATTAACGTATGAGTTGTTTTTTCTAACGTAAAACCTCCGTATTCAGGTTAAATGGCTGTGTTGGCACTTTGCGAAAAATAAATGGGTTTTGGGTCGCAGTTTAGGGCACTCGGTCTCTAAAAGGTTTGCCATCACTGCCCTAGGAGGTCACCCAAAGGAAGCTGCGACCGGATTGCGGTTTGCACAACCTCCACCGCAGAGATCACAAGGCAGGCAAAGTTATACAAGGGAACAGCGACATCTGCTGGTCAGTGAAGCCACGCAGGGAGGTTGTTTCTGGCCCTATATTGCTTTAGTTTATCCCGATTCCTCTGAGAGCCAGTTTGGTGTAGTGGTTAAGAACACAGACTCTAATCTGAGAGAGCAGGGTTTGAGTCCCGACTCTTCCATATGCAGCTGCTGGTGTGTTACGTATTGGGACTGAAACATTGCAGGACTGTGCTGCCAGGGACAGGGTGAGCTTGGAGCTGAAGAACAATAGACCAACAGGATTCTGGCAGGAACCAATTAAGATGTAAAGTTTTGTAAAAATCCTATCGTTGGGAGTGGGGTGTGTTGGGGTGTGGCCACTGCAGGCAATAGAACCGAGCTGAGGCTCTGGTGTACAGACTTGTTCTGGCTGAAGTCACTGAATAAAGTAGAGCTGATCACTAGACGGGGAGTCTGTTCCTCCATGGAACCCACTATTTAACATGGTGTGACCTTGGGTCAGTCACAAGTTCTCTCAGAGCTGTTCTCTCAGGAGCAGTCCTCGAAAGAGCTCTTTCAGCCCCACCTACCTCACAGGGTGTCTGTTGTGGGGAGGGGAAGGGAAAGGGGATTGTAAGCCGCTCTGCTCTGAGACTCCTCTGGGTAGTGAAGGCCGGGGTACAAATCCAATCTCCTCCTCCTCCTCCTCCTCCTCTTCTTTGCATTTTTGTGCCCTTCATTTTCTTCTTTTTTTGTTTATCATCATTCCCCCCCCCAGCTCTTTTAGGACCCCTTTTATACCCCCGATGCTTCTCTGGAAGTCAATTTTGAGCCAGCTTTTTCCTAGCGCGAAATGTTTCTATCGGTCTTCTCTGTCCTGCCCACCCCCAGCTCACTTGTCAGTGATTGGAATGTCATCATTGTTAAACCACGCCCCCTCCCACCAACCAGCGATCTCAGTTTTTTAAAAGACCCTAAAATAGTAGAGTTGCAATGATAGTTTAAGCATGTTCTCTGAACACCCAGCTTTCATCTTTTAAAAAAGTATTTCGCTCTCCCCCTCGTAGTGATATATGGGGAAAGGCATATCTCCAGGAAGACGTGCCTAGAGACTTCCTTAAAAAAAAAAAAAAAGAGCTGGGAATTTAGAGAACGTGATTGGGGTTTATTCAGAGAACGTGATTGAGGTTTATAAGATTATGCATGGGATAGAGCTTTTAAAAAAGTATTTCGCTCTCCCCCTCGTGGTGATATATGGGAAAAGGCATATTTCCATGACGACGTGCCTAGAGAGTTCCTTTTTAAAAAACAACAACTGGGAATTCAGAGAACGTGCTTGAGGTTTATTCAGAGAACGTGATTGAGGTTTATAAGATTATGCATGGGATAG